AAATGTTATTTGGCCCAATGTCTGACTATATGCGTAACGACTCCACGATCAATTGAACGTGAACGATAACGATCAATAACTTCAATAGTATGCCCGACGTCTAATACCGGATACGTCTCGATATGCACGTCCGAATGACGATGCCCGAGCGAATGAGTCCCGAGGCTAGTCCGAATGACTATGCGCGTATTTTCTCGTAATATCCGTCTACCGAGTTCAACACTTACCTGCGACAGACTAATGACTTGATCGGTTTGCGCGAGAGAGGGAATGTGGGAGTTTGAGTGCAAGAGGGAACTTGGATTCATCGACGCCAACGTCGGTATATATATGTACAGAGAGACGGTGACAGCTATGATATCATATGCAGCCTGCAAGGAGAGAATGACGCACATACTACGAGGCCGTTGATCGACACATCGTCCCAAAATGGAAAACACTATCCTAATCGGGATGGAAGCCCTTTCCTGGGCACAAGCAAGCTAAGCCCAGAGCCTCCGGTCTGAGTCCACAGTCAGCTCTCGTCTCAGCGTCACAAGGGTGTCGCCTCCGACGCGTCATATTTACTTGCGCTTCTCGCCGCCCTCGAGAGCGTGACGACATCGGCACCCTGATCGGCCTACGCTGCTGTTTCCCCTCGCCTTCGACACTGTCCTCGCAAGCCCTAGAGTTGGAACGAAACAGATACAACCGAGCCATCAACCGCATGAGAGAGAGAAAGGTACCAAGAAATAAACAGAAAAATAAAATGAAACCGAAACCGTACGTGCCATCGTACTTGAGTCCTAGCGCACTCTCCTCCACCACACCGCTGCTACATGTTTCATGCACCAATTTTGCCTTCCTCCATACGCCATCACCCCCGGTTCCATACCACCCCCTCATACAGGCGCTCCCGACGGCCCGGCGATCGAATTCGCAAATGGAAGACGATTACGATCGAGGTGGTGTATACGAAGCGATCGTGATCGCGCCGACGGAGGTAGATTCCGGATTCTATTTTGCTTCCGCGAAGGACGCTGATAGAAGGACATGAGTGTACCAGCTGACTGCGCTTAATTCTGCGGCCCATCAATGCGCTTCCCAGATTGCACACCGTCTTATTCCCGCACGATCGCTTCAGTGTCCTCGTGCGCAGCTGCTGGTGCGATCGATTTTGGCGTCGCCTCTACACGTACATGTGAGGGTGGACTCGTGCAGCAGGATATCAGGAACGTAAAACAGCCTCTGAGCTACCTCTTGACGTTCAATTTGGCGCGTGTGCGTCGTTGGCGGTCGTGCTACACGCTCTGGACACGTGCAAAGAGCGGATATTGTGCCGGTGCATTGCATTGGCAGGATTGATTTGTATCAAGGCAGACTGGCGAACGACTGTGCCCCGGGGAAATATCGTGTGAAGGATGTGCAAGGCCACAAGGTAAACACGTGTCTACTCTTCCATGAACGCCTCTGTACCCGATGTCCTGATGACTATGATCAGATTGCCGGCATCCTCGTGTCGAAGCAATGTCTTCCATACGGGCTGTCATACCGAAAGCTTCATGCCTCGTGCAGTATGTTCAGGTGGTCGCGATCTTGCCGCTGAGGCGTTGGCGTTGGTCCACCAGAACAAGAACCATCCTTCCACCACGCATGGCGACCTGGAGGAAGTACACTACCTGGATGGGCAGATATTCGTCCGCCGTTTCGGTAGCAACGGGCGCCCTGCAGGGTCTCACTACCGAAAGCAATGAGGCCGACGCGAGGAAGGCGAGAGCGCATTGTCTGCGCACCGGCGGACGTTCCTTAAATCCTGTCTTTTTTCATCTAGAGAGAATAACATCCCCTGCAGCGAAGTATCTACCTGCCCCGCTATTGAAATGTCCGCCCCAGTGTCTCCTGTCGGAGTAGAACGGAAGCTCATCGCGTACGAGGGAGTTTACCTCAGTACCGTATTATCTGTTGACAAGACCTCACAGGTTGATGGGTCCGACAGGAAGTGGAAAGTCTACGGTAATGCTCACTTTGACGCCGCGTGCAGGGGGATACTGATTTCATGAACGACTGATTCATCCAGTTCACTAATGCCGTGTGCGACCAGCAGTTCGCGGAAGTAGGTCACGGCTTGGGCTCCTGCACAACGGCTGTGCAGCCAATTCCTTTCAAATTTGCGGGAGAACAGGTGACGTTAGTCGACACTCCCGGATTCGACGATACAGTGCGACCGCAGGCAGACGTCTTGAAGGAAATTGCAACATTTCTGGAGAAAACGTGAGCTCTCAACACAGTCATCATCGTTTCTGGGAGTCACAGTCTATAGGTATGAGAGGGGCAAACGGTTCACTGCAGTGATCTACATGCACCGGATCACAGACCGTCGCATGACGGGCATCTCCATGGAGACCTTCCGACTCTTCCGGAAGATTTGTGGGGACGATGCCATGAAGAATGTGACGATCGTAACGAACATGTGGGAGGAAGTCGACGAGAAGGTCGGTCAGAAGCGGGAGGAAGAGATCAAGTCGAACTTCTTCAAGGACGCTTTTGACCACGGTGCCAAAATGTGTCGCCACTATGGTACCCCAGACTCTGCCAAGGACATCGTCCGGCAGACCCTGCAGCTGGACCCGCGGGTTCTACGAGTGCAGGACGAGATGGTCAAAGAGAAGAAGAGCGTCCCGGACACGGACGCCGGTATCCAGCTACTGAAAGAACTCGACGCGGAGACTGAGAGGCGGCAGAAGGAGATAAGAGACCTGCGAAGCGAACTCGACGCCCTGGGAGGTGCTCATGATGATGAAGTGGCGCAAGTAAAGGCGAGCATTGTCGACCTGGAGGAGATGCTGGAGAAGATCAAAACCGAAAGGTACAACTTGAGCGTCGCCGTTACGGAAGCAATCATTGCGAGGTCAACTTTCAATGCCAGTAAAGCTATAGGCCCTGATGACGGTATGTTTGTCGAAGGCATTTCACGGCTCGCTTGTTCATGCACACTGTACCATGCCAGCCCAGCCATCATTCCCCGGCTCCGGAGGGAAGGAGAGCCCGACACCTTCTCCGAGGGAGACAACGGATGCAAGCCCATCTCACCCCAAGCCAACGCCGAAAAAGTCATGGTTCAAGCGAGTTCTAGGCCGCGTCCGGCATAAAAAAAGTATGGATTGACGTCCCTGCGATATACACATGGCGCATCACATCGTGAGACTCAGGCGCGGGTATTCGATGGGGTGATGTGCGGACTTTCGCATTCTTCGCGAGTGAGGGGGACAGAGTACGGATGCGATCCCACATTGCTACGGTAGTGCAATGCCCGACGTTCGAATATATGCTCCTTGTCTCTTCCAAACGTCTCAATCTGTTGCCAACACCGATATACCAAACGTATATCGCTCAGCGTTACATCGTAACTAGGTTGGTGAGATCCCGTCTTGTCAAGACTGTGCTGTATACCGCCGTGTTACGCTGGCGTAGTGCCGTTCCTGGGAGGGGAGGGTCGTGGTCGATCATGGAACAGGGTAGGTAAATGAATCGACTTGCACTTTACACAGGAGCTTGCATTCAGATCATGCCAACGCAGTGAGGCGAGAGCAGTTGCATTCGAACATACACCGAGACCACGTTTCCCAGAGATACCTCACGACTTGTACACCCTCACCTTCAGTGGCAACTGCGGCCGGTCGCCATCCCACACGACAGTGGGATAGTCGACGCCTGCAACATTCCACTCGATTTCTTTCTCCAACTCGAAAACGAAGTTCGACACCATCACCGCAAGCACGACCTCTTCAGATCATGGTTAGACATCAATGACAAGAGCAGCGCATGAAATATATCACACTTACTCATCTCCATCTCTGAGAACTTGAAGCCGCTAGCATTGAGCCGTATTAAGCTGAGCGAATTGAAACGACACAGTTTTACTTACATGCAAGCGCGCTTTCCCCCGAGGAACGTCATCCTGTCACATCATCAGTGATTGTGTGGGGGCACTCTCATCGCACGGCTTACAAGTTAGAATATACGCCTGGAATGGAGGCGTCGTTGACAGCGCGTGGGAGGGGAGAGAGCCAACGCTCAGGTTTCCACTCGAGGGCATCCTCGCCCCACAGCGATTTGTTGACATTCGACCCGAAGACGCCAATGACTATTTCTGTTCCTTCGGGGACTGGAACGTCCTTGATTATCGTGCCATCGAGTCCAATGACGGGCTCAGATAGAGGAAGTATCGAGTCTTTTCTGGGCCTGCGCAGAGTCTCGGTTATCTAGGGGAATGCAGTAACATGTACGGGAGCGGCGGCACGTACACCCTGACCAACAACGTCGCGGGGGGATGCCTAAAAGACAGATAGTCAAACAGCATGCTTATGGACAGCGTGGACGGAGCTCACACTCGAAGAGTCTCTCGACAAACCGCGTCCAGCAGAGGCAGCTTCATAAGCTCGTCGTACGAGGTATTGCCTGTTCCTGCACCCGACTGAAGCAGTTCTTCTCGCAGCTTGGACTGCACGTTGCTGTGCTCAGCCAATAATTGCAAGATATGCGCCAGAGTATTGGAAGTAGTGTCCGTAGCGGCGAAGACCAGGAGCCTGTCGTACAGACCGTGAGCGAAACATGAATTCGGAGAATGAATGATATACTCACGACATTTGAGCGACCATCTGGGACTCGGGAAGCTTGTCTGCGTCTGATGCAGCCGTGTTGGCTCTGACTGCCTCAATGAGCATGCAATGTCAGCAGATGGACAATGATGTGCAGGGAAATACGCCTACGAAGGATGCTCATAATGTCTTTTCCTTCACCGACCTGGCGAAGGACAGCTTCATCTCCGCTCTTCAAGGCGGCCTTCTTCTCATGGAATATCTCTTGAGATCGTTTGCTCATCGTATCAACCACGTGTTTGACGGTCTGCACATGTGCGTTGGGGAATATGTCCGTGGCCAGTCGGCGAAACCATTTTGGGCCCATCTTGACGAGATGTGGCAGTATCTGGCGCAGGGACTCTATGTTCATCAAGGCTGGGCTTTCGCACCATATACAGATCAGCTTATACTTCAACAGCACGATGATAAGACCACCTACAGCATTGCCTTGAGGGCGTCCCCGTACTCGTTCCTAGCCTCCTTATCCGAAACGAGAGGATCAAAGGAGTACCCCAGGCCGCCTTGTCCTATCAGCTCGAGTGCCGCTCGCCCTGTCCACTCCAACACATCGATCTCCTTCTCGCCCCCACGTACCTTGGCCATGACCACTTCTCGAAGCTGGTATACATGCATGAGGAAGCCGAAGAGTATGAGTATGATTCAAAAGAGTGCGTACCTTGAAAATGACATTGTAAAACATGGGCAACATGTGACGCATGTGGTTCACGGAGAAAACAGGATTGAGTAGCTTTCTCTGCCGCCTGTGATTTTCACCTACAGATGGACAGCGCAGCGTGGAATGTCAGAGCGGCACACATTGTTGAAGACAGAGCGAACCTAGGCTACCAACGAGACAGTCTCCGAACAACAAGTTGAAGGTGCTGGGCACTGTGTGTTAGTGCTTGTCATTAGGTCAATACTTCCACTCCGTCTCACATCAAGGTCGATTCAGGTTCTTCAAAGACGTTCTCTTCTTTGATGATGATCGTGTGCAATGCCTTGGGATCTGAGACGTATAGTATTTTGCGCTGCAAACATCCGGTTAGGCGGCGCTCTGCAATTGATTCATCTATTACACTTTTAACCTACTCCGAGAGGACCTTGAAGGCGCACGACGGGTCCATAGTTGAGGGCCACATCTCGTTGAAATGCTCGCCCGTGGCGCGTGAAGTATTGCATTATGTTTCCTACAACCACGCGTTAATATTAGTATTCTGATCAATGTAGGAGCGTTACCCTTCATCCAGGATCGAGATGGAGGTCCGGGAATGTTGCGCATCACACGATGAGCATCGTGATTTTTGGACTGCCTTCGCACCAGCCAGACGGTTCCAAATGCGAGTAAGCCATAGAGTAGTACGATAAGAGTGGCCATGTCATGAGAGCGCAGGTCTAATCAAGACCGAGTCGCGGATGGTAGGGGACTGAGGGGGGAAAGCATACTCTTTATACGGCGCAGGTTGCCCTTCCTAATGGAGACAATTAACGAACATACTGTATCGAGATACCGAGACGTGTTCTAGATAGAAGACGCATACGTTGGATCCCGTGATTGTCTGGGAGCCGAAAGACATGTTTGTGGCAACAGTGGCAGATAAAGTGAAGCCCGGAGGAGTCCCCGTAGACAATGTATCGAGATAGGTGGGTCCAACGAGTTTAGAAAGTGCAGAGGGAATGCGTTAAGTCAGCGCAAAGACGTGAGGAGAGCAGGCCATTGACGGCGATGATCAGCGTAGGTCATTGACGACACGTACTACAAGGCCCGACTACGTTGAAGAATGCATGTCATAAGTATACTAGACATGACAAAGCGGGGCGAACTTACGTAGCTCTTGCTTACGGCGGCTCACACCAGGCATTCCCAAGGAGGGTTAGTTCCACGTGGGATTTGTTGTAAGATCAAGGATTAACGTGACATACTGTTCATCAGTGCGGGTCGCACAGGATGATTTTCGACTGCTTTGGATCCAGCTATACATGGACTGCTCAAATTGAGTAGCATGATTGTGCAAACGTGGTCCGTCACAGTGGAAGCTACTGCCTTGTCTCGTACCCAGACCCACCGTGCCCGTATCCAATTCCACGGTGGCGGAGTGCGGATACGGTGGGAGACAGCTGCAGCCGAACCGACGCGTACGGTCACGTGTCTGTGGAAGTTACGCTCGAGCGCTCGTCTACTTTGGACATCACGCCTCCTGGCTTCCTTGAAACGTTTTGGCTCTCTTGTCAGGACTATACGACTAGTGCATGATGCGCTTTGTATCCACCCCGGTATAGTATGACAATTGATCCACAGATTGAGCGACAACGAGAGCCAGTCGTCATATGGTCGAGAGAACAAAAGCTCGAGAACAGCGCCATACTGTGAGTCTACTTGTGCGTTTGATGCGTCCTAGGCAATACTGTCACCATCGCAGTCTGCGTACGTCAAAGTTAATCCCATTGACACTGTATCCGCATTTTCCTCCCTCTGTTCGCACTTGCCTGATGGAAATCCTGTTCGTGTGTCACTATGACACGTCTGTATCGTTTCCGACATGGTGTGATTCCAGCAAAATATTGTTTCGAAAGAAAGCTCTTACGATCGAGCATTGAGTCCTATAATCATTTCAGTCCTGTTTGCTGAATCATTACCAGGTCGTAGCTCTGCGCAGCGGAAGACGATAAAATCAAGACTTGTATGTAGGCTTGTCTGCCAAATTCTCGATGTTTGCCAGAAGGCAAACATGACTCGTGCAGTATTGTGTATTGTCACACGACGGAAGAATATATTGTCAAACACGCTCGCGAAGTGCTCTCCATGCCCTCCAAACCTTAGTAACGATGGTTTGCAGCGGTCCCACTGTTCGTAGCGGTACCTCCGTCGCGACGGCCGGAGCATCGCGTATTCTCCTCTGTTCCTCCTCAAGTCTGTCCCTCTCCCTCTTCGTCTTGAGCTGTATCTCCTCAAGCTCTCTCTGCTCCTTTTCGTCCTTCTGTCGCACCGCCTCCTCGAGCTCTGCCTCCATCTCGTGCAATTGGGCCAGTTGCTTGAGGTGCTTCGCTGCTAGGTCTCCTAGAAGCACCAGCCCCGCCGATGTTTCGGAGATTGGTTTCCCCATATCCACGATCTCCCGCTGTATCAGAAAAGGTCTGGGGTTATTCTGGGCTATTTGGCTGAGGATAGCCCTCGCGGATGGTGCCCCGCCTTCGTGGTGCATCATGAGTGTCCCGGCATCGATGGCAGGTTTGAAGAAAACGTCGGTCTCCCTTAGCTCCTTCTCACGAGCCCTTCGAATATCGTCGCTGACCTCGTTCCACATGTTCAGAACGACGGCACAGTTTGCGAGGGCGTCTCCCCCGCACAGCTCTCGAAACATTCTAAAATTGCGCAAGGCAGTTCCTCCCATGCGGTTGTCGGTGATGCGATGTAGATAGATAATACCGTGCAGGTATTGTTTCCTCGTGTGCCTGCGCCAACCAAAATAAGCATACCGAGATTTACATGTTTATCTAGGAGAGACACAAGCCTCACATGGTAGCAAGGTACTCAGCAATGCCCCTGAGCACATCTGCCTCTGATTTGGTAGTATCATCGAAACCAGGAGTGTCGATCAGCACGATTTGATATTTGTCGAGTATGAACGGCTTCGACAATTGTATGTATGCTGTTTCGGATTCTAAGCCAGATCCTACTCGCAACTGGGAGCCACTAGCAAGGTTGATGAACTACATCGTGACGGTGGTCAACATTCGGGTTGCGTTAAAACCGGATGATGTACTCACTGTCGTCTTTCCGGCCCCGGTAGGTCCCATCACGCTACGGGAAGCCTAATGGTGAGACAAGGCGTGACCTCGGAGAGTCCGACTTACGCTATGTTGATCTGCCTGTGATATCCAAAAACGTGTCGGATTGCGAGCATGTCACTGTATGCGATGTCGGTGTGGATTAAGGATGGTATGTATCCACGCTTTGCTTAAATGCATCTAGTTGGCGCGTGTCTAGACCGGACTCGCCTCAAGTGTGCCCCAGACACAACTTTGGTCAACACGTTTTCCATTCGCGTTATGATTCTCCCACAACCTCTGCACTCAACGTATGATTGGGCTGCTAGTCACCTCAAGTATGTGGTGTCTCGGATTGTGATAAGTACGGACGGCTATGTTACGTGCCTTTCGCTGGCCACTCGGTGACAATGTGTATGAAACTGATCGTAATCATACTTGCCCGAAAGGCGGCTATACGTCTGCAGCGCTCCACGTTGAGATTCAAGAGCAGATTGATTCATGTAGAAGGCATGCGGCTACGGCATGTGGTACGCTGTATCAGGGACTTGTTGACCGTCTCTCATACTGCTGGACACCATGAGGCTGCAGGGGGTACATGCTTCTTGATTCTTTGTGCGATGATATCTCTCGCTGCTAGTAGACTGAAAATGGGACTAGCTGGACTGGACCCTCTCTTAAGCTTCAGCATCACCATACCTGTTTTCAAAGGGACCAAAACCTCATAATAACTCCTCATGCATCAGGCCGTACACGAGCGGACCAATCGATAGGCTGACAGGCTCCGCCATTAGTGAAACGTTCGCGGTGGGATCCGATCCCGTGGTGAGATAAAACGGCTCAAAACTGGTAATTAGTACATCTGGGTTAATCAATACCTTCTGTAGTACTCGAAGTCGGACAGCTCATATTCCATTGCCCTTTGTGAAAGAACTAATGGTACTAGGGTTCATTTGGGAGTCGTTAGCTGGATACACCCGCACTTGAAACAAGGTTAGATGGTAAGTGGAGGTCTTCAGCCTAGAGATTGCAACATTCACGGAAAGAGTTTAAGGGTCTTATATACGTAAGAAAAGCGAACACTACAGGGTGGTCATCCACACCCATTGAGTTTCAGAAACTCAAGAAACTCGACGAAGAACAGCCAACCGCAGTCAAGATCTATGGCGAGGGAGACGTGTGCTCAAGTGTGTGAACCGAGGTGCGAGCTTGGTTTGACGGATGCAGTGATGTGAGATGACCAGAAAGCGTTATTGGATGTCATTATCTATTTTCGCGACTGTTCTTGTCAGAATGCACGTGAGGTCATCCCCGTTTTGGGAGGTAGACGCTGTTGACTTTCGCCTGGGGACGAGACGAGGGGAGTGGGAACGCGGACGCGAGCGAGCACAATGGCGGGATTGTTACAAACGCGTGGGTGCCAAGTACGGCCGCGCTACGGTACAAGTACTCTACGGGACCGATGTATTTTACTTGGCAATCGTGCTGCGATCGTTCTCCCGGCTAGGCACAGGGCGCGTCGGGTCGGCCCGCTCGACACTGCGGGCCCCAAAATCTAACAGACGCCTCTGCCAAAAGCTCTGATGGGATCTCCGCTCCGCTATTCAGTCTCTGTGTATCCGTCATCGGTTGTCCCCCGGACCCTGATCATGGGGCATCAGGAGAGTTCCTCACGTTCAATGGAGATACCCATGTTCGGGTTTCCAACATTGAGTTGTGAAAGCCGATCAATCCCCGTACCTCATGCTTTGCACGTACCTTTCCAGTGCGGTTCGTAAACTGCATGTTCACGGCTGCATGATAGTCCCTATCGTCCAAATAGAGCAAGTACTCCGGGACCACGTACTCTCTCAACGATTGCCTGTTCCAGCTACCGATGAGATGCTTACCTTTTGGGGCTTAGATCGCCACGCTGCGACGGCTAGGTCAGGGTGAGTTGTCTGGTGTGGTACGGTTTACGCTTGCAAGTTATGGCAAGATTTGCTGACACTCTGCTTCATCAAGACACCAACAATGTGACATGCCCCGCATGGCCCAAGTCGAGTGATCCGCCAACAGTAGACATCACCAGATAGAACTTTATAAGATCCGGAGGTTGTTCTCGAGCAATAAAGCACACCTGAAAGATAGCTGAAGATATCACATAACCCCTCGCTATCGTCGCAACGTCCTGGTATAACTAAATACAACCATGTCATCCACAGAGCCGAAGTTGATTGCGTAAGGCGTCTCAATTATTTCGCATACCTTAACGAGAATTTGTTCTGCCAGATTGATGGGTGTAACTGGGAGTGGCGAGACGACAGTAAGTATGCCGATCCACTTCTCAGATACTGGGTTTACTACATAACCGGCTAGTTCACGAACCTGATCACCAATGCAAGACTCAAGGTAGGACATGGCTTGGGCTCATGCACTACGGAGATACAGCTCGCCGGCTTGAAGCTGGACGGAAAGGACGTCGTCTTGATTGATACACCTGGGTTCGACGATACGGACAGGTCTCAGGGCGACGTATTGAATCAAATTGCGACCTTCCTGAAACAAACGTCAGTAGTTCTTCAGATTCTTTTACCTCCTTGCTCATACCAGCAGATACGAGGATGGAAGGCGTCTTTCCGGCGTCATATACCTGCACCGCATATCAGATATTCGTATGAGTGGCAGCGCTATCGAGAGCTTCCGATTGTTCAAGGAGATCTGTGGCGATGAAGCCATGACCAATGTCATCGTTGCTACGACGATGTGGCAGCATGTGGACAACGTGAAAGCCGTAGAAAAGGAAGCGGAGCTAAGCGATAAGTATTTCAACGAGGCTATCTCTCGAGGGGCACGTATGCTTCGCCACGACAACACAGAGTCGTCGGCAAAGGCGATTCTCCGGGACCTCCTTCGTCACGATGAAGAGCCGAAAGCATTATTGATGCAAAAAGAGATGACCAACGAGCGTAAGCAAATCCCGGACACGCAAGCAGGAAAACATTTGTTAGACGCACTTGACAATCTGTTCCGAGGTTTGCAAAAGAAGCTGAGCTCTCAAGATGGGGAAGATCAAGAAATGCGAAGGAAAATCGACAACATCGAAGACAAGAGGAGAAGGTTTCACATGGCCATCGCCGTCGATATTCTCACACGGCTAATTTCGAGCGCACAAATGGTAAACAACTGGATTCCTTGTACGTATCATTAGTTCCCTTCACGCTAAAGATTGATGCATTTTGATCCTCTAGCTGCATCTGCTGACATTACACCACGACAAAGTCTCTATGACGAGTCCGCATCCGCTGGCCAACCTCCAGATGTCAACAGTCAGAGCATCGAGTGCATGGCGGGTGAAAATGTGGATGAAATACCTCGTCATCATCTGGGTGGTAGCTCGGACAACGTGAAACATCCTCTTACAACCGACCTGATCGACAAACCTTCCGACATGGCGGAGAGTAGATTGTCGGAAGAACACGTGAACGGTGCGTTGATAGATCAGGTCTTTGAGTCCAGTCGTATAATCAACCATGGTGACGTGACGCCCGCAGGTGAACCTACCGTGAATAAACATTCAGAGGGGCACACTTCTGTGACGGAAGGAACAGCAAAGGAAGACACGCAATATTCACATGGGGAATTGCCTGAGCATGAAGCGAGGCCATTAGAACAACCTCTCCCATTGCAAACTTCGTCGCAGGAAGACCCGCAGGAAGAAAACGGTGAGTTGATTAAGTTATCCACTGCAACCCCAATTAACCCACAAATTCAGTGGGCCGAGATCCTTACTGGCCTATTGACGCAAGCCGTCAATTGCAGCATTCACGTCCGGACGAGAACACATTGACGCCCACGGAACATCCAGAAAATAGGCAAATTACTCCCCTAGGGCCTCCATCAGCAGCCGGTATGTATGTATCACGTGTTCCAACGCCAAATTTGACAGACATATTAGACGATGGAAACAATGGAAGAGATGTCGGCGGGGGGAACCGATCTGGAGCACACAGCAAGTCAGTGGATTCGTACGGTGCGCGTAAGCCTTGGCTAGCCTTCCGCAATGGGTCGCTGTCCTAACGTAGTCTTTCTGTAGCCTCTGGCCCCCCCGTCAACGTCCCGCCTGAGCGTCCCCCTATAATTCCCCCGTCTACCGCAGAGAAGCGGACTCCAACAGCCCCGCCCGCAACCCCTGACGATTTAAATGTAGGCTGCTGCCCGTCGCTCTGCTGTTGCATCCAATGAGATGGCAGATATAAGCATTCCTGCTATCACGTGGCGACCAGCACGTTGACATACCTGCGCGGGATGTAGCCATGGATTTGGAACACTTCCACACAAGTCAGTGGGCTCCGAGAAGCGGCCATTGATTTTGACAGAACGTATAGCGGCTGGATTACACTCGCGTTTCCTCCAAATATGTATCTGGGTTTGTTGTGTCATCATATGTGATCTTCCATCAAGCAGTGATACTTACATTCTGTCGATCGTGTACTCTACGGTTCCCTCTGAAATAGCATCGACATTGTTAAAAAGCCAACTATCTAACCAGAATAATCAAGAAAGAATATGTAGCAGTATGCCATTTCCATTTCTATGAGCAACGACTGTGTGGATCAGATAGCCAACGTGCTGTCGCACTTTACTTACCCTGGGCCCGATATGCACCGTATCCAGTCTCAATTTTCTGGAAGGAAGTCTACAGGAAGGTATATGCGAGGCACAGATTTAGTGGTGGTTGGTCTCGGTAAGACGAGAATACGGATCAAAATCCAACGCATATATTTCGAGGCTGAAGGATGCCGAACCCTAGGCTCTTCTATGTGCCGGGCTTTTTCAGCTCGCCCTTGTCTCGTACCCATCCAGTTATATCCCATACCTTGAGTGACCATCCTCTAACCATCTGAACGTGTGCTCTATTTGTGGGCTGCCTAGGGGAGACTACCGCCGCTGCCACATCACTGGCGTGCGAAATGTAGAAACCTATCAGAGACCCATCATTGACAGTAGAGAACCTATGCGCGCGAAACACGATGTGAGCAGTACGTCGCGATAAACCTTGAGACTCACAACAAGGATAATGCCCGTCGTATGAGTACCGTCGAATGGCGAGTGTGTGGACCGTCAAACGCCCACATTTGCGTGCACACAGCCTACGCCATCGCCGCGATAGGCGCTCGCTGGCCGATCAGAAAGCCGTAGCCTGGGTGGATGACAGGTATTGGGCATAAGCAGCTGCCGGGGAAGGATACGTAATTCCCGCTGATTGCATCGTCGCGAGAGTGCAAGTTGATCGAGTTCCGTAGGACGCCGCGAGTATTCTGCACACGCGAATCGGATATCACACCGCCGTGTCATGACGACAAGCGGCCGATATCGAGTTGCATCCTATTGAAATAGTGCATAGGAACATAGCTGGATACATCGTCCTGTATACTCTGGCGCGTGAGCACGACGCAGGCACAGAGGTGCACCAAGTAGCAGCAACCTTAATCCTTCGAGCTGGATAGCTTTTTGATTGCATAATCACGTCAGAGACCGTGCGAGTAGTGATGAACCATGACATTGGACAAGCGTATCCTGGTTTGTCATGGTGCCTGGTAGGAACAACACGAGTGCCAGCGTTAAGGCTGCCGTGCGTCGCCTAAAATGCGAAGGGTTCAGGGTCATACAAAGGACAGTCGCAAAAGAAAGTGATTATCCACGATCTATACAGCACGATTTGACATCCATCACATGGTTATTGGTTTGGCCTCACTAATTAACCACGTTGAGCTCGCAGCTAGCTGGCATAAACATGGTATTTACCATACATTCTGTTCCAAAAGCAATTCGGCTGCCCACGTACCGCGATTAGGGAGAAAAACAATCATAGAATAAGGGATCCTTATGTTGACGGACAAGCGCGTCCGTACGCCCCGCGTGGATATGCGCGCGCATGACGTCGCATTATCGCGTCGGGATCAGCGTGATGTTGTCGCGCCCCTGGCGCCCCTGTTCCTGTCTGTAAATACCCCGTCCTCTTCGTTTAGCCTGCGCACCATAGATACAGGTGACTCACCCTACTACGGCACGCTATATACCTGTCATTTTCACGATGCGAGCTTCAGTCGATATTCTACTCACTGAAGCTCTGACCGAACATCGTTAGATCCGACGTCGTTCGAACCTCGTTAAGACCTTAATCTCGCAAATCAACCGGAAACCGTGTGCTGAGAAGAATCAGCGAAACTATAGACATTTGCCTGAGTCTCTACCCAGCCTCTTCATGGCATTAGCAGATGATATCCAAAGTAGGGCAAGCGCAACATAGCGCCTTGGGTGGGTTAAAGACTTTGATCCTCATTAGCAGACTATAGAGGGCCGACGATATAAGGAGAGAGCAGCCGTCAAGCAAGCAAAGGAATGGGAAGGACAGAGTGATACCAGTATGTGTGATCCAAGTGCGCAGAAAATGATGCATCTGATGCGTCTAGCCGGAGTACGATGTGTAAAATGGTGCAGGACAAGGAGACAGACTCGAGCTGCGCTGAGTACTTCAAGTTGATGTGGATGATGCAGACGTTCAATGATACGATCTAAATGATGAGCGCCTACTTAACCCTAGAACAGGGCTGCACGATCGTTGAACAACCCCAAAGGGGTGCTCCGTTAATCCAGGACAAGCGCCCCAGGGCTGCTCTTGGTATTCACGGGCGCGATTGCGATCGGGGCCGCCCTGGACCCACCACTAGAGTTGATATCAGAAATCAACGGAGCGCCTTGTTGACTTTTGGGTATGTCGGGCAAGCGTCGCTGCCGGCCCGGGTCACGTGGTCGTGCGCCGGTGTGGGAATAGGACTTATGTAGGCGTTGCGCGCCGTAGGTAGCCCCATCGGTTTGTAACCTTATCCACCATTGATCCCTGTCCATCGAGGACGTTGGCTGCCGGCGGTCTTTCCGGCGTCGTTCTCACACGCCTACCCCTTGGTAACCCCACTCTGTCATGGCATGATGTGGCGCACTGATGGCCACCTGTGTTATTCCACAACTGCAGCTTGGAACAGTGCCTTGCTTAGCAACATCCTGAATAGCATGCTTGCGCTTACACTCACGCGATAGAAGGACACTGTCTGCAACAGATACTACTATATGCGATATTTGGATTTCCTCTTCCGACAAGAGCCACATAGCACGCGGGTAACCGCTAAACCACTGTTGCCCGGACGGTACTCGTATTATCCAAATTTACTAACACAGCAATACCAGAACACACCTGACTATCTTATAAAGGACGACATACGAGGAGTGGTGCTCATGCACTTTCCGTGTCAGCTCTCCGTACAATCATTGAGACATGCCTGAAAGTACTATCAAAACGTGCTCTATCTCCCCGGAGCCTAAACTAGACAACATTTGGACGTGGGGTACGTTCGCGGTACCACATAATGACATACGCTAACACAACTGATCGTATCTTGTTTCTATGAGCTGAAGGTCCGTATCGCCTTCGCATTTCAGGACAGAACGCTCTCGCCGGTGTGACATCCTCCGCGCTGATTGAGGCATTAGCAGATATCTACAACCGCACAGCGGCACCAGCGGACGCAAGGAATCAGTCAGATCACGACACAACATGCATATTTGAGCTTCTGTTTGGCTTCCTATCAGACTCCGAAGATCCCGTGATGATGCTTGTCTACCGAACCGGCAGGTCACCTCCTTCATTTAGACTACTGACGTTGCCAGGGCTCGTGGGTGCCTGAAGACCGGATATTCTGTCCCGAAGCCTTGCTGGATATCTGCGTGAGAGAGCACGTAATCCACGCATCGCGCCGCTTCACCATCTGATGACAGTATCAATTTCCAGCATCCCCGAGGTTCGGACTTGAATCTGATTCTGGTCTTCAGACCGCTGAACTGGTCCTAAATTCAGGTTCGGTCAGATTCTATCCGGCAGTTGAGGCAGGAGGTCTGAACCTGGTTCGAACTAAGGTCCGAGCACACTGACCGAGGTGATCAGCCGTACCTCGGTGTGCGGTTTGTTATGGGCGCATGATTTCATGGGTGGCGCACCAAGCCTCACGGAAAATCGCATTCTCAAGGAAGGTGGAAAAACAGAGGATGTTGCTGACAAAGTATTTGTTTCATAGCTGAGCCAGGATGAAGAGCCAATCGACTTCTGAGCGCGAGATCACCCCATCAGGTAGGCTTCCCTAGAGGGCGCTCAATGCGGATCAGGAGCTGATATGGGACAGGATTTTGAAAGCAGAAGCGGGCCAGACCGCGCGCGCGCGACTGCGACTACAGCAACCAATCGCGAGCCCCGTTTGCCGCTGAATTGACGGCTACGTGGGTAGAACTCGAGAACCAGATATTCGACACTCTCAGTTTGAATTCGAACATCCGCCGTTAGCACAGTGCGCGTGGTTGGGAATTTCATACCGAATTAGCCGTGTGCGCAGCACCCTGATCGTGCTGTCGAACGAGAGACAAATCTGGTGGAAAGCCGAAATCACCATGAACACTAGATATCTGGCTTGCCTTTTGATCACGCGTTCTGCTGAATCCTCTCCACAATTCAATCCATGGTCTAGCCGGTAACAATGTGGCCAGGAGATAGCCCATATAGAGCAAATCTGTAAGATATCTACTGATCTCATTGTCAGTATTGGATCTCTACCCACAGACTCTTACCGCCTACGATCACCTCTGATGCGACGACATGGCGAAGAGCTATAAAGCTAAGTTGATCCATATCACGCCACATTAAACATGTCTGAAATAACCTCACTCCCTGCCGTGGACTACCCTGATCAACCCAGGTTTTACGCGGCTTCATCCTCTCCAGACGTCTGTTCCTCGCCGTCACAAGAACACTGGGGAAGTGAGTGCTCAGCGGCAGCGGAATGGACAGACCTTGCACAGCACAGCCTCTCCATTCATCCTCCTCTCCAACCAGAGATGTTAAGCACATATAGTGCGCTCGAAGGTGCGCTGGGTGCGGATCAGCCAAGCGGCAACGAAATTATTCAGGGAGACCCACGAGAAAATCCTCCACAAGATGTGGGCAAGTATATCAATACGGTTCACTCGTGCGAGGAGCAAGCGGATTCAGAAGCCCTGCCGTATGGCTCTACTGATCTCGACAGACAGGACGAGGTTAGTGCCTTTCGGACCAGATCAAGGTCGTAAATAATCAATTTGCTTACAGGTTGCACTACCCCTAAGTCGAGTTCCCTACAGCAATGGCATTGGGGCTCCAAGGTTCGAGGAGACAGTACATTTTCGGGTGGAACACTTCGATTACGTTCGATTCGGCAAGCACTTGGAACAGGACATTGGGAACATGTCTGATAGTGACATGCTGCCTTGGGGAAATGCGGAAACTCATAAGCCATCCGTTCTAATCCCGGTGAGTACTTCCATACAATCAATCCATGATAAAAGTCTGACAGATTTTGTTCGCGCAGTGGGTAGAAGGCTCTCCTAAGCAATTTAACATACCGAGAAATATCACCAAAGAGGGCTTGTCAAGGAAGGCTAATGAGTGGGTAAAAGACTCTGTCGCAGTAGGTATCTCATTACTGGGACCAGATGGCCCACTCACCTCGCACCCGTCTGCACAGACAACCAGACCCACAAAATCAGGCTGGAAACTTGGTGACGGCCCAATCACGATCGATGATATCGGCATGCGTTCTCTAAGATATGTTAGCCAAGGCTCCATTGAGCTCGAGCTCGTCTTTCTCGGACAGGTCTCTCTGTGTTGATCATTTTGAGCCAAGCACATTCTCCATGTTTGACGACTTTGGTCCTCACCGATCCTCGTCCGCAAATGTGAAGGGCGTGCAGGCTCTGGAAGAATGCAGTAGTAGAGACTAGCAGAGATGCAAGCTCTAAGGATGGCGCAGAGACGGAGACTCCCCCGATCACAGAGCAGATTGGCGAAGAAGTGGAGGGGGGGGGGGTAAGGAAGATGAATAGCAGAGCTACTCGAGCGAACTGACTTGTGATAAGTGAAGGCAATGCTGCGAACATCAGATTGAACCACATGGTAGAGCCACTCTCTGACCGCTACCCAATACCATCTCAGGCGCCTGTTGTCTTCCTTGGGCTTGCTCCTATCCTCATTAGCAGCTTGCGAGTACCTATTCCCAGAGCGGTGGCAAACCGTAGGAAATGAAACTATTCAAGTTATACATATACAATGGTGTGCGTATAGGAAAACTCGACTGCCCTCTTTAGCCGCGGGCGCTAGTTGCTACATCTCAGTGATAAGAAAGTGCTTTCCCTCATCGCTCCAAGCTGGCGTAGCACAGCTTAGCGTCTCGATAGGAGGGTCTGTCATCACAGTTATGCCCATCCGACAACTCATGAAGCAAGACACCTAGGATCACTGTGAGGCTCCGAACATTCGTGAGCTTTCGCAGTGCTCATCGCGTTTGGACCCTATTCAGCAGGCCCTACCCTCTCCCAAGATCACTACTTCAACATAGTATCATCATGATAACAATCGTGGTCACTGTGTTGATCACTGCCGGGGCGCGCACCGGGAGCGGAGTTGGCGCGAAGGGGTATGAGTGGCGGAAATTAGGGTAAGCGCTGACACACTCCGGCTACTACTCATGCAGTACACCTGCTATCGACAGTGCGTGATTCCAGCGAGCAGGACAGATTTCCGAGCTCATTCTATGTCCTTTCTTGACCCGGCATCACACATTCCATAACGACAGTCGCTGTCTGTAAAGCGTACTAACGGTCTCCTCATAGGGCATAAGTCGGAACAAAAAGCCATTCCTCGCCATCTGAAAGAATAACTAAGGCTCCAACATCTCAGCCGCAAGATCAGATCGATGCCTTTGATACTCGCCAGACTCAGAAACAAGCTGTGATTCTTCCGCTCGACATTCCGTGTTTTCATCGACGACCAGGAGCTCGATGAAACATATCCATTCACAAGGTGACAAACCTAGCCCTTCCTCCTCTTCACGGTGGCAAATGATACCTGTACATTTGCTTCGTGAGCTCACCCAAACATTTTTGACTGGGAGTACTTACTACGTGGCCAAGTTCCTCGATCCCGTCTGCGCGTCAACATTTGCAGCCAATCCAGGCCTCGAGTCGTGTACAACAGACATTATGCATGCCGCCTGGATGGAATGGATATCATGATGATCGAAACTCCAGGACTCAATAACATAGCGAAGTTGCAAATGAACATCCAGGAAGAGTTCTCCGCTAACGCGATGGACGAAGCGCTTAAATGAACCATAGTAGCGCCTCAGGAGAGGATTAGAAGTTGGAAGACGACGTGAGCCAAGTGAGGAACGAGCAAAGAGGAGCTCCTGGTCGATGACGGAATCAATGTCTAATATGAGTCTGGTCAAGGTTCTGGTGTGCATAGAAACAGCTACATTCACGTCTGACCAACGATTGGAGATTCACGCTCTGCAGTGGCTGGTTCTTCGTACGGTCTTTTGCAGGCTGGGCCTGGCCATCCGCGATATAGCTCTCCAAACCTCGACATAATTTTATAAGAGTATTGTGGATGTCATGCGGCAGCATCCGCGTTACAAGACCGTATCTTGTTGGTGTGAGAAGTGCGCCGTGGGCCGGGTAATGCAAAAGAACGACAAGGTAAACATGATTGAGACTCCGATATGATTCTTTGAGTAGAGCCACGAAGCTGGCGTTTGCGACGGACATTAAGAGCGGAGGAAACCTTGCTGCGGATCGGTATTCATGGGAAACTGGGAAACTGTAATAGTGCACGTTCAGCAATGAAACGACCTCACGATTTCTGATTTGCAACCAACTACACGGGCGAAAAGAGAGGCAGTATTACCCTCGATCATATCGATATCTCCTCAGCGGCAGAACTAAGACTTTTAGACTCTTCATCGCCTCGGCAATCCCTTTTGCGAGCCCCATGTCCCTAAAATCCACGAGTCAATCTCATGAAAATTGAGTTATGTAGCAAAACAACCATTTACCTTACGCGTGAAACTCGTTATGGGACCCCTCTCGAAATCGCATTCGCATGGGAGGACCTATCCAGCACGACTGACGGGTAAGGGAGTATTGACGGAGGCCACACAGAACACACCAGTGGGGTTATTATTAATCGCAGTCAGCGTCAGCGCCTCCAGCGCCAGCTCCTGCCCCAGCAGCATTGCTTCTGTAATCACAATCTGCTGCACACCAAGCACAGAGTTGCTGCAGATCTTCGCGGCAAGTTTTGCTCCTGACGATCCACAGTATACGACCTTCTTGCCCATGTGCGCAAGCATTAGCTCCGCATGGTCGAAGGTCGTCGACGACGTCGGCGCCGAACCATCTTGCGCACATCTGTTACGATGCCGCGTATTACATCGACGTCAAGTGTCGTCAAGTCGATAGATATAGTTGATTGAGTTGCTTCTTCGGAAAGCGAGCGCAGAACGGAGATGTCACACGGTCTGCGAAGCATCGGACGAAGGCTGTCAGCGTCGACGTGCACAACGAGAGACCTTCGACTGGCTCTGAAGGCGTACCAGCGACTGCCATGTGTGTGCTCCAGGAACTATTTCGCGGAGTTCGAAGACCTCCGCGGGAGCCAGGCGGGCGTCACAGACTACAGAGTGCGCACTGCCGCTGGTCCCGGCGAGCTTGCGCGAAACGTGGTGATACGCCTATGAGGCCCATTGCGATGAAGCTGACGCTGCGCAGCCGCGAAGTGGGCAGCGTGGAGAGGACGAGCTGTGTTTCAGGGAATAACGGGCGCTTCTCGCCACGAGGCTTAACCGTCGCGGTGAGTCATTTCTGGGCCCGTGCCCAATATCTCTCTCCGCGACACTCAAATCTCCGAAATCTCGATGATCTTGTGCGTATCTGTGGATATCCGTGGATATCTGTGTACACTGACCCTTGTGAATTGCATTGGCAAATCTTCACACGGCTATCGCACTAGAAGGCTTGCAGTTGTGATCTCAAGCAGCCCTGGGTGTGTTCGACGGCTCTATTCCTCAGCAGATATCTAATGCTCAAAATAGGACCTGTGCGGCGCACGGTGCACTTCACATAGAGGTCCGTGGCCTAGGTGCGGTGTGATACGTGCTATGCGGGGCTTGCGCGTGGACTCCGACGTTGAACCTGTTCTATCTGCATAAGCAGACGGCCGCGGCCGTCTGCGGTTGCTAGCGTGAACGGTACAGTGCCTCCGAGAGCGATTTCCATGTCTCCCAGATATCTAAAGCCAGCTTTAGCGCAATACTTCCGCACATCTTCGTGAGGACATGTGGACGCCCGCTCCTGTCCAATTCGTTGGATGGAGGGTACTCGCATCTCCCTCTATCGCGGCATCTGGTGCCAATATGTAACGCTCGTCTTCATGGTCCTCATCTCCGGCCGATAGTACTGTTATGCGATGACTATGCGTGGGCACGGCGTCATCTGGTGTAACGCTAAGCTTTTCCTCCGGGCCCGGTGCGCGGGCTCACTTCATGAAACACACTCCCGAGTGATTTACTTATACGCTCACCGGGGTGATATCTGACCCTGCAGGAGCATTAACAAAGTGAGTAGCCCCATCCCATTACGTGCTAAGGCCTGAAGTGAGATTGGCTGACCCACTTCTGTCACGATGATCTAGATATCGTCCATATTTGTTCAGTTTTACATTATTCATTCCTCCCCTGAGATCCTCAGCCGCCGGCATCCAACTTGGCGAAAAAGGATCGAAGGTAGGTGCGAGAACAGTGTACCTCGCGGTGTGGTGGAGGAGAGTGCGCTAGGACTCAAGTACGATGGCACGTACGGTTTCAGTTTCATTTTATTTTTCTGTTTATTTCTTGGTACCTTTCTTTCTCTCATGCGGTTGATGGCTCGGTTGTATCTGTTTCGTTCCAACTCTAGGGCTTGCGAGGACAGTGTCGAAGGCGAGAGGAAACAGCAGCGTAGGCCGATCAGGGTGCCGATGTCGTCACGCTCTCGAGGGCGGCGAGAAGCGCAAGTAAATATGACGCGTCGGAGGCGACACCCTTGTGACGCTGAGACGAGAGCTGACTGTGGACTCAGACCGGAGGCTCTGGGCTTAGCTTGCTTGTGCCCAGGAAAGGGCTTCCATCCCGATTAGGATAGTGTTTTCCATTTTGGGACGACGTGTCGATCAACGGCCTCGTAGTATGTGCGTCATTCTCTCCTTGCAGGCTGCATATGATATCATAGCTGTCACCGTCTCTCTGTACATATATATACCGACGTTGGCG